CATGCAAGGCAATCACTTTCTGGCGGAGACATTGCCCAGTCTCTTTTCCCTATTCATCAAAATATTTTTTGAGTGTGTTACACTAAACCTGGGTTGCTTTTAGAATCAGAAAAAATAGTTAAGATTATAGAGCTTAATGGTAGAACAATGGTTCAGTATGGACAAGGGCCTGGGTCCAATCCCCCACACTGCAAGATTAATTCATTGAAATTAGAAAAAGCAATAAGATGTTTTAAACGTTAAGAAATTTAAGAGTTGACCTTACTGTTCCCCAGAGAAAGGAAGCACAGGTTTCAGGGGGAAGAGTTTAGCATTGAAGGCTGTGTTAGCTGAGGGTGGCTACTCTCGTGGGTGTCATGGCCCACATGTGCTTGGTACCCTACAACTTCATGTCCACGCAGCCAGTTAGTCCTCCCCAAATGCTGTGGGCATAGAAACCATACACATTATGTGCTCTTATTTACATGTGAAAGAAAAGTAAGACTCAGAAAGTTCACATGTGATTTCCCCAAAGTTATGAAGTCAGAAGGGAGCCTAGAGGAACCCTGAAGACCCCCTCCCCTGGAGAGGAAAAGCCTGGAGGATATTTGAAGGCATAACCCACCTGGGAGTGAGTACTGCTGTATCTTGACCCGGCCAGCATTCTCCACAGAATCGTATGCAATAGAATACTGGGCCTTCTCCAGAAGGAGACAGGGTGGCCTCGGGTTCCCAGGCCCAACTCCCTTGGCTGACTTCAACAGCTCCCTGTAACACAATGCACCCTTCTTCTCCTGGCACACCCTCCCCAGCTCTTAATTAAGCTAGCCAATGGTTGTCCTTCACGGCAAAGGCCCGGGCTTATGAGCTGCCCATTGTTCCACCCTGGCTACCAGAATCCAGCCTCCAGTAGGCACCCATGATGCCCCAGATCCCAGCATCTAAAGACTCAACACTTGATCACAAAGGGCACAAATCCCTATGTCATCAGAGAGACAGCTATTATTGTTTCTTTTTATTAATGCCTATAAAAGAAATCACAAAGCATTTGAGTGTTTATGTCATAGAAACCAAATGTGTCCACACTCACAGTAATAGAGAATAAGCCACGAGAGAAAAGATCTGGAGCCCAAGGCATGGGTGGGTCCCAGTCGAGACCCGATTCCACTTCTGACAAACTAGGTAGCGCTAGGTGAACTGTTGCCTGCTGGATTCTCCACTGTCACAATTGCAGAATGGCTGTCATCGGAGAGATACGTATGTGGAGAAATTCTGGGGAAAATGCAAACCAAATGACCAGGAAATTTAGAAAGCTGGGTGTAATTGGAGCCAAATGTGTCTCCCTGACCCCATCCTAAGGAAGCTTCCTAACCCTTCCTGTTGCTGCCCATGAAAAATCAGCCTCTGGCTTATGATGTCATAAGAGAAAAGCCAGTCTCCAAGACCTTTGCAGCCTTTCTCCCTGTGAAAGAGATGGTGTTTGGATAGCCATGATACTAGCCCCCTGAATGATGGGAGGGAGTAGGCAGAAGTTCTCAAGAGACCTCCCCATTGCGTCCTCGGACCAGAACTGGCTGTGTATCTGCAGTATAAAGACACAGCACTTAGCCATCAGAACCAGATTTCCCTGCCTATGAGCACCATGGGGGCACACAGAGCCTGGAACAGAGAAGCCAGCAGTCGTAGCATTAACTTCAGAATTCAGGCTTGGGCCAGAGCCAAGACTCACTGGGCAAAGGTGCTTGACGCTGAGCCTGACAATGCGAGCTCGACCTACAGGATCCACAGTGTGAAAGGAAAGAACTGACTCTCTTTCTGTCCTTCACACTCACATACATACACACTCACACACACACACACACACACACACACACACACAAACAAAAAAGAACTCAGCCTTGCAGACACATAGACCTGAACTCAAATTTTGATCTTCAGCTCTAAGGGGTCAAGTCAGACGCTTCTTTCTGAAGCCTCGGTTTCCCCATCGATCACAAAGTTCCAACTAGCTCTTAGAATTACTGACAATGAAATAACAAACCATGGCAAAGGCTGGGCGGGTAACCAGGCACCTCTTCTCCCCCACACCACTCTCCATGTCTACAGAAGGCTCCTCCTAAAATATAGCCCATCTATGCGGTGTCTGTGCTTAAAACCCCAGATGGCCCCTCACTGCCACAAAACCCAAAGTCTTTCACATGGATGAATCCACGTCCTGTGTTTCTCACCAGCCGTCTTCTTCCCCCAAACAACCCAAACTATGCTCCAACTGGTTTCCTGTCTTGGGTCCCCAGATCCTCCAAGCGTATGATCCCGGCCTCTATCCCTTCTGTGCAGACCTTGCCTCCATCCCTCGGTTCCCAGTTCTTAACCTCCCTGCTTGAATAGCCTTTTTAAAATGGGAATGATATTATCATTTTTGAATACAGGATATGTTCAAACAATTCGAAATCCAAAAGAGAGGAAGTGGTTTAGAGCAGAAGTCTCTCCTCCTGCTCATCTGTCCAGCTTCCTGGATCTTAGTTCCACTCCCCAGAGCAGCCTTTGTTCAATAACTTGGTTCTTCCAGAGGAAAATACATAAAGACAAACAAACAGTGTGTGTGTGTCTGTGTGTCTGTGTGTGTGTGTCTGTGTGTGTTTACCTCCTTCAGTAAGGCTGGCATTCATCCCATTGTGTGCTCTACCCATTTTCATCAGAGTGTATCCTGAATCTCTAGCTATATCCTCACATAAAGGCTCTGTGTGTGTGTGTGATATAGTTATACCTATGGAATGACTATATCACATGCGATTGTATAAATCCACCATTTAGTTGATCCCCTGGAGAGAGATTTACATTTAGGCTAGCTCCAACCTTTGTTGATAAAGAAGACACTTTCTTGAATAATCATCTTCATAAACAGTCATCTTGCACACACAGATGTGAGGTCCATTTCTAAAGACAATTTGCTGGACAAACACCAGGAGCTGAGATCCTGCCGGGTCACCCCAGAGGAGCCCAAACAACTTAATCTTCGAGTGTCTGTGGCAGGGCACACTGGCAGAAACAACACATGTGTTTGTGCCATCTCTTACTACTCCCGTCTTGGGCAACCAGGCAGGGGAGGGGGTTCATGCATCTTGGCACCGTTTTGACTGCAGCCGCCATGGTCGTGAGTGCTCGAGAGACTGCATTTGTGTGTAATCGGTGTTGGAGCTGTTTATAGCTCTTCTCTCCTGTGAGGTATTTGTTCTTAGCCTGGGCCCCAATTCCTATTAGGCTGTTTATTTTTCTTAATGATTTGTAGGAGCTCTTTATTTACCAGGGAAATCAATCTTCCCCTATGACTGGAATTGCAAGTACTCTTGGTCCTTGCATGAAGGCTCCTTATAAAGAAGGCGATCTTTGAAGGAATTAAGCACCTCTCCTCTGTGCAAGATAATTATCAAATGGACGGACGGACGGACGGACGGGTGGAGTGTATTCTGCCCAGCTTCTCAGTTAACCAGATAATCAAACCAGAAGACCTGTCCTTGGTGAAAAATCCTAGGCTTGGCAGCTGAGTGAGCTCAGCTGTCCGCCCCAGCCTCTTCTTTCCCCCCCCTATATGGTCCCTCTTCCCTGGACAGATCTTGACACCAGCCAGAGCTCCACAGGGCACAAGAGTAGAGAGGCAGCCCCATTACAGAATTTTCTCTCTTACTGGCCTGTCAGAAAACTAGAATTTATGACCTCATTCACTTTACACAAAACCTGTTTCTGGAGACGTTTACGATGACCAAGTGAGAGAAGGGGTAATGTAAGTAAGAACTCTGGCAGGAGGATGGAGCTGGAATACAGGATCTCACAGAAGCCTTGGGCAGGAGGCTCAGGACCTCGCTGTGTTCTCTGGAGACAGTGCTCGTGGAGGGTCACAACTAAGTGTGCAGAGTAAAGACTGGGCTTCACCTCACAGGGAAGAGAGCTTCCTGCGCTGGAGCCACAAGCACCCCCACCGTCTCCGTCTCCTTTCCAAGGATCCACAAGAACCCCCACTGTCTCCTCTTCGTGGGGCCCAGCTGCAGTCTGCTACTGCTCAGCTCTACCTTGTCCTAGGACCACTCTGTGCAACTGCCATCCAGCTTCCTCAATGTGCCCCCAGGGACAAGCGAGCCATTCCTGCTTGTCCAGCTCTGAGCTGGCACACCACATGTGATGGCTCCTTCAGGGCCCTCAGTACCAGACGGGGTCAGGATTATTGGCACCCTAATTTAGAGAGCTGTTGACGAGAACGGCGAAAACAAGAAAGACAGCCCCTGCCCCTGTCACAGCCAGCACTCGGACTCAGGCGACTTCTATCCATCATCTCACTCATGGCTTCTGCTGTGTAAGACATGGAAGACCTGGACATGCTGGGAGGGCTGAGGGAGTATTCGTTCTAGGATAGGTTCCTCTCTCTAGCACACAGGAGAGTCATCCCCAAAGGAGGCACCAGGATAATGGGCAGGAAGCCCGGAGAGAGATGGGGCAGGAGCCTTTCAAACAGGAGGAACCAAACCCAGTATGGCTGGAAAACAGGAAGTGATCCTGAATGACATAGGAGCGGGGTGGAGCTTTGAAAGGCGTGTTCATGAACAGGTGAGGGCAGGTGTGGTGTGAGCAGGCATAGGCAGGTGGGAGCAGATATGGGCATGGACAGGTGAGGGCAGGTATGAGCAGGCATGGGCAGGTATGGGCTTGAGCAGGTAAGGGCAGGTGTTGTGTGAGCAGGCATGGGCAGGTGTAGGCGTGGACAGGTGAGGGCAGAGATGAGCGGGCGGGCACGGGCAGGCGTGCACATGCATAGGAGAGGGCAGGTATGAGCAGGCATTAACAGGTGAGGACAGGTGTGGGCATTTGAAGACACAAACAGGCCAGACACAGGAAGGCATGGACCGGTGAACAGCCGGCAGGCATGCTGAGTTAAGACAAGCAAGCATAGGCAAGCCTGGCTAGGCAGGAACAGGTGTAGGCACCCTGGGCCTCTCTCCCTTGGGTGAAGGTCTCTTACCCCCACTTACCCTCTTCCTGAAGCTGTCACCTTTCTGCGCCACCATTTAACACCCCTTCTCCTGCACTCACTCACCAGGGCTTCCCTGAGCCGAGCTGCATGCCAGGCACTGCACAGCCACTGGGAAGAGACCCATTAATAAGGCACATGAATAAACCTCGGCAGCTGAAGAGCAGAGCAGCGCTGAGGGCTGTGATAAAGTGGCATGTGGGTGCAGAGGAGGGAACAATGAAAACTGCCAGCCAGAGAGCTGGGTACCGCTACTCCAGCTGGGTCGGAAGGGCCACAGACAATGACACAGGGCTGAATCGCTGAGTCCACAGCCTGGCACCGGCAGCAGGCTATTCTGGAAGCCCTAGATCCGCCTGAAGGACAGAGCTGAGTGGGCCGGTACCTGAAGGGCCTTAGGTACCCAGAGAGGGGAGTCGGGGCTGCATCTGAGGTAAGGGCTAGGGTGTGGTCAGAAGAGCTTGTTAGAGAGACCCCTGTAGTCCTGAGCTGCTAACACCTCTGCCCCTGGTGGCTGTGGTTTTCTTTATCGTGAAGTCACATCTGGATGCTTCACTTACAGAACTGACTGTATGGCATGGCTGTTTCTATGTATCAGTGGTGGGATATTCTTCGCATGTTCATATAGAGCGTGCATAACTCATCTACCTCGCCCCCTTCTCTCCTAGGGAACGAACAGGGAGAAGAAGATCCTGCGCAGCTTCCCTCCCCAAACCCCCAGAACACGGCATCTTCAGTCCAGCTACAGAAACTGCAGAAAAGTACAAGGTTGTCCTTGTTTTCTAGGCAGCTCTGGGAACGTAGCTCACATTTTGCGAGCCCTTGTTCTTCAGCAGCTAATAAATGCCATTGTTTGTAAATAGGATGACATCACAATGAAGCAACACCACCATCTGTGTCATTTCCTCTCCTTCTCCACATGCTGGCCCTTCTTGGTCCACAGAGGTTTTTAATATGAACATTGTCGCAGCTTGACGAGAGAGGATGGTCCCACAGTAGAAACACTGTGGTGGTCCCTCGGCGACTGGATTCCTGTCTAACACTGAGAGGGAAACAGGCGGCCCCTCCAGGATGTTTTAGGCTTGGGAAATGTCCTTTGGCTGGTCCCTGTGTGCTCTAGATGTGAGCTTCCATCCCGTCCTGCTAGTTGTGTGAAATGTGAGCACTGGAGAGGGGTGGGATAACTCGAGAAGCAGGATTTGGCATATGCCTGGCCTGCTCATGGCCCTTCTGTTATGGCCTGCTATAGCAACAGGGAGTAGTCTCCTAGACGCCCACTGGGCTCCTTTGGAATTCTTTTCTTTCAGTTCAGGTAGCACAGTCTCTGTTGAAGTGGCATTTATGTCCCCATGTGCTTTGTAAGTCTGTCATTATGACTTGATTATTGCTGTTGTTGGTACGATCTATTTGCTTTTGCCTGGCAAAAATGCCTGCCTTCAGGATGCAGAGACAGAAGGATCTCTGAGTTTGAGGACAGCCTGGTCTACAAAACAAGTTCTAGGACAGCCAGGGCTACAGAGAGAAACCCTGTCTCAAACAAACAAACAAAAATATGTTTTTATTTTTAATTTATGTGCATGAGAATTTTGCCTGCATGTATGTCTGTGTATCATATGTGTCCCTAGGGTGTATTAGATCACCTGGAACTGGAGTTACAGATGGTTGTGACAGTCAATGTGGGTGCTGTAAACAGGGTCTGGGTCCTCTGGAAGAGCAGCAAGTGCCCATAACCACTGAGCCATCTCTCCAGTCCTACTGTGACTGGTTGTGATCCCACGTTGCGGCAGAGCCACATGGATGCTGAGATCCCTGTCTAAAAAGCAACCATTGCCCCTCTAATTGTGTGCACAATCACTAATTCCTCCTTCCTGTCCTGTTTCGCATGTAGAGACCTTTGTAAAGGGGTGAGAGTTGAATTGGATGTTAAGGAAGGTTGCTTAGAAGTGAGTAAGATTTGGGGGTGAATTGTGGGGACATCTATTGGGGACATTACCTAAAAATAAAGGTAAACAATCTTTGCTTCATCCAAATGTGGGTACAGCCGAGTCAAAATGTCACCTTATGAAGACTCCCTTTTCTGTGTCATCTGGAAGACTGATCCCAGATACAGCTGTTCCCCAGCACCCAGTAATGGGCAGCAAAGCAAGGGGTCTCCCACTTACCCAGAAGATGCTTGCCAGTGTTGTCCAGTTTACAGAGTAAAGGCGATGAGGCTACAGTAGGAACTGGCTCAGCAAGCAGAGCCTTTGGTGACCATAGACAGCCCCCATCTGACCAGGTTAACATGCCCTGGTGATCACAGAGGCCACTGAGGGACCAGAACTCCACCTAAGTCCCAAGAGCCAGACTTCATCAAGGTCCCCTGCTCCCCTGGCCATCAGGCAGATTTATTAAGAGCACCAAGAGCCTAGCAGAGTCTGGCTCACCTAGCAAAGCACAGTCCAGCGACCCCATCAATACCACAGGGAGGAGGGCAGGAGGCAGAATGTATGTAAGGTCATTTGGAGATAGAAAAAAAATTTATTCACAGCACTCCCAAAATAGCCAATCTTCACTTTGCAGCGATTGTCACCTTCTTGGCCCTAAATCAAATTCTGCTGTGAGAAGCAAACTCAATCTTCCCCGTACCAAGTTTTGCTTTTTATGAGATCGGCAGTAAGTTGGAGTGTATTCAGAGAAAAGTGGGAATTCCCAGGCAGTCCAGAGGGGACAGAGAGGCAAGGCCATGAGAGGTAGGAGGACAATGTCAGGGTTGAAGCTGGCTGATGGCGTTCTTATGGCATAATCAGAATGCAGTGAGCGAAGCCATGGTCATGCATGCAAGGCACGGTCCATGATCCTTCACTTAGCCTACAGGGCACTTTCAGCTGCCTTGTCCTGTGTGAACAATGGCAGGCATCATGCCACATACTTGCATTCATGACAGCTAGGGGACAATGGCCCACTCCAGGATGTCAGAAAAGTTCCTTGGATAGAAGACAAACGGTCTCTTTTTTAGAGATTTTTCTCTGGATTGTCCCTTTGAAAATTCCCTCTGACTTCTGCAACATCTGGGGCTGAGGGATCCTCCGAAGACCTGTTTATGTGTGCTCAGATGTGTAGGAACAGAACTGGCCTCTCCACTCTAGATACCAGAGGCACCCACTAGTCATGACACTCAAAATCATCTGGAGAGCTGGGAACGTAGCTCAGTGGTGGGGTGCTTGCTTAGCACATGTGAGGTGCTGCCTTCTATCCCCAGCAACGGGACAAGAAAAGGCATTTTCCAAAATGTCCTCGAGAGACAAAATGACCCCTACTAAGAAACACGTCCTGTAAATCCTACTGAGGTCTCAAGCATATGAAGAGTCTCTCCTTCTCCAGCCTCAAGCATTGCTGCCAAGTTCTTTAGTGTCCCATAGCATCGTCTGCCTGGCTAGCATTGCTCCTCAAATGCACTGACTCTATAACTAAAAGGCCTCATCTCCCCCATACACACACAGAGGCACTACCTCTCTCTAACCATGCAGCGCAGTGTCTTTAGCGATAGGTTCACTTCCATCATTGCTGGCTTGTTTGACCCGGAGCAAAATTCATGTAAGAATGTCATTAAGGAAATGGTTATAGTAATAACAGTCTTCCTAGGGCTGTAGTAGCAAGAGACTGTTCTGACACCGGGAAGGCATCTGTAGTCTCATTTGTCTGCGAGGCAAGGAGAATTCAATAGACACTCTAGATAAAAATCTTCAGGAACAACTCAAATCCAGGTGTTAGAGCATGGCCTTATGAAGGAAGCAGGCAAATGTTGTTTTGCTAAATGTTCACACTGTCAAATTAACTTCTAAATATTTATGTTTCTAACCACAGACCTGGGCTGCTCTCAGCCTCGATCAGGGAAGCTTCTTTGTGCAGTGGGGGGCAGCCATTGTTGAGAGGGTTCAGAGGAGGAGACAGAGTGGTCAGCCCTAAATAGGACATCTTTCCCACCCCACCTCCAACAAGCTCAGTGAGCACTGCAGAAGAGGATGAAGAAGGAATGTAAGATGGGGAGGACAGTTGTGAAAGGAAAACTGAAGGACTCGACGTGGCTATTGTACCCATGACCTCACTTCAACTGTGGTTATGCGCAACAAGACCTGCACGAGATCAAGCCAGCAAAAATCCAAGCAAAATGAGGCCAAGGACCATTAAGCCTCATCCCCTACTGAGGAGCTATCAGAGACAACTGGTAGCTGCTTGGGAATGGAGAACCTTTCTCTTTCTTTCTTTCTTTCTTTCTTTCTTTCTTTCTTTCTTCCTTCCTTCCTTCCTTCCTTCCTTCCTTCCTTCCTTTCTTTCTTTCTCCTTTTAACATGTGATCACTGATTGATTTCCAAGCTTCAGCGGATAGCGTGTCGCACCCTATACACATAGAAGCAGCATTAGTTGGACTCTGGGTTATTTTTAAAAGTATGTGTTGGCAATAGAACCAACCCCATTGGCAGAGGCATAGGTGAGCCAGCCCCGAAGTTGTGAGCACGGGAACGCTGTCCCCACTGCTCATCTCTTGTGTGGCAGCATGGGCAGAGGAGAGCCGCCCTCCCCGTCTCCTATACCTCCACCTCTCCCTCCCATCAATGAGTCTCTGAGATGGCTCTGAGGTCACTAGAACAGGAAAGTTGGCCATGCCCCTCATCAGCTGAGGCACTTAGGAGAGCGGACCCTATGCCATGCCCTGAAGTTATTGGTGTGGGAGAACAGACCCCGAGGACATGAAAATAGAACTGGCCTTGGCCCTTGCTCACAGCTCCAAGGAGTGAGCTAGCCAGGGCAATGTAGGAGAGCTCACCCTGGTGGTGAGGACAAGGGAGAGCAGGCTGATCTCTAACCCTGCAACTATCCAGGCCCAGAACCTGAGTTAACAGTTGGCCCGCCCCAACATCCACCCCATCTGTGATCTGCTGGAGCAAGACAAGAGAAGGGACCTGTCTTGCAGACCTAAACCTGCAGGATTTTTACAACACAGGACAACTGCAAGATAACCAATAGGAGTTCCAGTGAGGTCTCGGCATTAATAGTGTAGCAGAAACCAGAGGTCTCGAACTCTGCAATGAAAACTTGGAGGTAAAGATATACGGTTAATGTGGGCTCACTGTGTCACACCACAGCTTCCATGAGAAGATTGATTTTTTTCT